TGAGCTTTACTGATCACAACAATTTGTCCGTTGTATCTGTCGTTGTTGTTGTCGTCGTAAACTTTTCACATTTTCGACTTCTTGTCAAGAACCGCTGGGCTAATTTCAACCAAATTTGCCACAAGGCATCATTGGGTGAAGGGGATTCAAGTTTGTTCAAATGAAGGGCCATGCCCTCATACAAGGGGAGATAGTTTGGAATATGAAAATTTGGTGGTATCTTTTAAAAATCTTCTTCTCAAGAACCACTGTGCCAGGAAAGATGAAACTTAATGGGGAAACATCCTCAGGTAGTGTAGATTCCAGTTTGTTCAAATCATGAGGGAACTTGTAAAGTGCAAAACGAAATAGAAATGAAACGAAACAAAATGAAACATTACAAACTGAAAGGAAACGAAACGAAATCTGCCAAAACAAAATGAAACCTACCGAAACGAAATGAAATCAAGATGAAACGAAACGAAATCAAAACGAAACCAGCCGAAACGAAACAAAACTTTCAAAATAGTTTTTTTTTTCAAATCAAAGTATATACATGTACATATAGTTATATATATAATGTGTAACTGCATATGATCTATTTTCATTCAAAACGAAACCTGCCGAAACGAAACGAAGAAGAATATGGATATTTTGAGCATTATTCGATCTCAAAATTTAAAGTCCATAAAACAAAACTATCAAAATGTTTTCTTTTTTCAAATCAAGGTATATGTACATGTATATATATATGTAACTGCATGTGGAATTATATTTTTTTACTTCAAATAAAATTTATATAGCACTTTTAATATAAAGTTTGATTACCGATAAATTATGCTCCCTTCTCAGACTAATGATGTATTTACACGTTTGCCAGCTGCAATTATGCACGAGCGTATTATGCGTGTATAATTTCAATATGTACAGTATTTTCTAATTTTTATGTCTTACTCTTATTTTCAGCCCATATTTATCTAGATACAACATAACTATTAAACTTCCGAGTATTTAGTATTCCATTCCGAGGTGTCTGGTTTTATCGTTCAAAGCCGACCAAAGTTTTACATAGAAATGTATAGGAAAATTCTTTAAAAATCTTCTTCTCAAGAATAACAAAGCCATAATTGCATGATCATACTTATATGGAAGCATCCTCAGGTAGTGTAAATTCAAGTTTGTTCAAATCATGACCCCCGGGGTAGGGCAGGGCCACAATGGCCGACCAAAGTTTTACATAGAAATGTATAGGAAAATTCTTTAAAAATCTTCTTCTCAAGAATAACAAAGCCATAATTGATCATATTTATATGGAGGCATCCTCAGGTAGTGTAAATTCAAGTTTGTTCAAATCATGACCCCCGGGGTAGAGCGGGGCCACAATGGTCGACCAAAGTTTTACATAGGACATATATAGGAAAATTCTTTAAAATCATCTTCTCAAGAATAACAAAGCCATAATTGATCATATTTATATGGAAGCATCCTCAGGTAGTGAAGATTCAATTTTGTTCAAATCATGACCCCCAGGGGTATGGCAGGGCCACAATGGCGACCAAAGTTTTACATAGAAATATGTAGGAAAATTCTTTAAAAATCTTCTTCTCAAGAATAACAAAGCCATAATTGATCATACTTATATGGAAGCATCCTCAGGTTGTGTAGATTCAAATTTGTTCATTCATGACCCCCAGGGATAGAGCGGGGCCACAATGGCCAACCAAAGTTTTACATAGAAATATATGGGAAAATTCTTTAAAAATTTTCTTCTCAAGAATAACAAAGCCATAATTGATCATATTTATATGGAGACATCCTCAGGTAGTGTAGATTAAAGCTTGTTCAAATCATGACCCCGGGGGGTAGGGCAGGGCTACAATGGCCGACCAAAGTTTTATTTAGGACATATATAGGAAAATTCTTTAAATATCATCTTCACAAAATAGCAAAGCCATGATTGGTCACGGGACTACTTTTGGATTTAAACTTTTCAATAATAATCCAATTTCTTCTTTTTCCTAGCCATAGTGCTCAGCTGAGAGATGTGGCCCATGGGCCTCTTGTTTTTGGAAACCCCTGAACTTAGATTACATCTGTGTGTTTTAGAATAGGGCTGGGTATTGAAATAAATTTTTCGATACGATACATATTGCAATACAGAGGTGCAATATGCGAAACATATTGCCGATACAGACAAATGAGAATTTACTATTTTTTGCATGTTTTTTTGTTAAAGAGGTGATAGTACTTTTTTATTAAAGCGTAAATTTACAATAATAAAACATTTTAAATCCTTGTTTATTTTAATTCTATTTGAATGGATAAGTGTATGACAAATTAATGTTAGTTGCCCATGTTTTTCTTCAGAAAAATCAAAGCATCGATCCACTTAGTCAGATTTCAGACAAGCCCTTGTGCATGTGAATATGTTGCCACTGGTGCTAAATACTCGTTCTGAAGCCACAGACGACATCATAACATTGACCTGTTTGACTGTGTTGATACTTCACTTGACGTCGTATTCGTGGAAGTAATGGGAATTTAATGGCAGATAAAATATTTTACCAAATTGCTTTGTCAATGAGTTGAAATAAACTATGACTTAAAAATTCTGATTGATATCTTATTATCGGTTTACATTCCATGACTTTTTCGACGCGCCATTTTACCTACCGGCATTGCCTCCAAGTTTCACAGTAACAAACAAGTCAATGTTGCGATGCCGTCTGAGATGGGTAATAATATATAGGCTCGTTGTTCTACCAGAACTTGTGACTTCTTATTGACAAAGATAATTACATTTTGCCTTTTTGCTGCTAACTTTTACGTAGCGACCCTACACTTTTGACATGTTTACATGCGTTTATACGATTTTAGATAAGTCGTTCGTAATATTAGTCACTTTGAAGTTTTTCTTTCTTTTAATTAAACGTTGTAAATTTTTCTCGAAGTCCAAAATGCAGTTTCTTTTAGTGTTTAGAGCTTCCTTAAGAAGAGATAGGGCTGAATCAATATAGTATTGCATGAGAAGAGCTATTCAACTTGATCAATATATTACTCCACTGATCAAAGACCAGAAGAGCTTATGTCATACCGTCGGCAAATTCCCAGGTTAAGGTTTTTGAAGCTTTTTTTTTTTTTAAGAACTGCTTTGCCCTACATTGATCATATATGCATGCAAGATGCTTCTAATGTGTTTCATTGTACCAGTAAAGGTTTCAGATGCTGCAATTTCAGCAAAGGAATGACCAGATTAATTTTTTTGGAGCAGGTTAACATTTTTGGTGCAGGTCTCATTTCCAAGTAACTAGAAGCCCTATGTTGAGCAAACTTGCATGGGTGACACATCTATAAAGGATGCATTGTTTAAGGGTTGCTTCAGATGTTGGATCTGACCTACATTTTCCTGATGAGTGAGCAGGTTAAAGTTTTTGGTGCAGGTCTGAATTCTGATCAGTAACTACGAGACCTAGGTTGACCAAACGCAAAAAAGGGCAGCATTTGATGATTTACTTTCAGCACATAAGGCCAGATAAAATTAATCTTTAGATTCTCATCCCCGCCCGCCCCTCTCAAAATGTCCCGCCCTGGTGTTTTTTATTTCGTTTTTTGGGTGCTGAAAGTATTTTCCATGTATTGATTTTGGGTCAAAGTTCAAGAGTTATCTCCCGTCTGTGTTAAAAGTCGCGTTTCGCTATTTATAGCAAAAGAGCCATGTGAAGAATGGCGAAAAATCGGCAATAAAAGCAGTTTAAATATGTAAGGAACAGATAATTTGTCAGTGTAGAGAAGGCAGAGAAGAAAAAAATAGCATAAACAAATCTAGACAGTATCAATGCCTATGGCATGAGCAAATTAGAGAGATTTTAACTAAGTAAAAATATAGACAAGGAAAATGACACCTGGTCAAGTTTAAAACGATCTCCATCTGTGTGTGATTTTTCTTTGAAAAAATAATAATAAAACATCGTAGGCAGACTTTAAAGAATGCTAAGAAAATGTTAAATCTTAAAACTGTTCAGGCCTAGGTTTTCCAGTAGAATATTTTATTAGAGTATATTTTATAGATTTTGCAAAAATGACCTATTTTAATGTCGAACGTGTCAAGTCTCAAGAACGATCACACTTTTGAGAAAGGTGGAAATCTATGATATTTTACAGAAAACAGAGGGATTTGTTGGTAAAACTAAAAGGTATTTGGAGAAGTCTGACATGCATACACAATTTATTGGTATCCCTGCCTCATTTTGTTTGGCGTGTGCCGTGTTTGTGTACTTGATAATTTCTTAATTAACGATAAATATTTAAAGCAAGAAGCTTCTTTTGATATTAAAAGAATATGAATAGAATAAAATCTATTCATATTAGCATTAACATAATAACAAAAATGTTTACAAGAGTCCATGTTTTGTTGATACTTACACATGTTACAATTTAGCAAAGAGGAAACGTAATGATGCTTTAGACACTCTGATGTTTTCATCCTTCGATTCAACCCATAACATGAAATCTCATAATTTGTTTATTTCTGCATATATATCTTTTTGAAATTTGCTGTGTTTATTGATGAAAAATGTAGTAAAGAATAATGAAGATTTTAGAATGCAGTGATGATTATTTTTCACCCTAGACAACTCGTCCACAACTTTACTGGCCAACCCTTGTACAAACAATAATGTTATTTTGCAGCATCAGTGCTCTGCCATGATTTAATATTTATAAATCATTATGTATTAACATTTCTGTCTGTAATGGTCTTGCAGACATAATATATTTACTGTTACGGATTTTCCCCCATGACCAAAATAACCCACAGATTGGATCACCCCAATTTATGCCCTGAATATTTAATCTATGTATCGTAAATTTATTTGTAGATATCATGGGAATATTACCAATCATCGTATGTCATTTGTATGCTTTAAATTCATTGTATATGTTTATTTCATGGATATCCTTTCGAAACAAACCCGAATATAACTTAATGTTGTGTATTTATAATTCAGCTTTTATTATTTTAGAATCATGGAACTTCGACGATCACAGAGGATTAGACGTCCCCCCCACTGGTTCTCCGACTACTTGGTGGAGTTTCCTGTAAGTAATAAAACCGAAAATTCATTTTAGAAAATTTCAATTTTTTTGAAGGGCCGGGGTCAAGGTGGGATAATTATGATCATACATGTTGAGCTGTTGGGTGCAAGTCTAATGCTTAAGATTCGGGGAAAACCTATACAGTCCACTCCTGTTTCATCTGTAGGGGATTAAATAGGGTGCTGCAAAAGGCAGTAGCCTTTAACATCGGAAGCTGCACATTGTTGATTTAATTATGTCCATCAACAATTTTGTCTGTCAGTCCATCTGTCTGTTCATTTTATACTTTTACTATGATATATATTTTTATGTGCCTGGAATCGATAGAACCGGGGCATATATTGTTTTTGTCCTGTCTGTATGTCTGTCTATATGTCTGTCTGTTTGTCTGCAAACTTTAACCTTCGCCATAACTTTTGAACCATAAAAGATAAAGACTTCATATTTAGTATGCGAACTCCACTAATGAGGCTCTTTCAAATGACGCTAAGGTCAATGACCTTGTAACCTGGACTGTGACCTACCTGCTAATAATAGCTTTTTTATGCAAACTTGAACCTTCGTCATAACTTCTGAACCATGAAAGATAGAGACTTCATATTTGGTATGTGTACTCTTATTAATTAAGCTCTTTCAAATGACATTAAGATTGTGACCATGTTAAACTTTGTTGCTGCTGGGCGCATGGTGTTTCACAAACATATTTTGTTTGTTACTCAAACAGACTTCAGTGAAATTTTGAACAGTGGTAGAATAATACCATAAGAATGGTAGAATAATACCATAAGAACAAAACACCAATAGAGCTTACTTCACTATGCATATCTTTCTATAGGTATTTTAAAATTGTTATCCATGAACATGATGCTTTTGTTGTGAAAACGTAACTCAGAGATAATGCTTAGTTTTCAAAGTTACTTTTTCAGACTGTGTAGAAAGGTTTTTAGCTCACTTGAGCTGAAAGCAAGCTCAAGTCAGCTTTTCTGATCACCTGTTGTCCGTCTGTATGTCTGTCCTTCTATCTGTTGGTATAAACTTTTCACATTTCAACTTCTCAAGAACCATTGGGCTAATTTTAACCAAAATGGATACAATTAACTTCCTTGCATGAATGGAAGTTTGTATTGTACAAGGCTAAGCCCTCATACAATGGGAGATAATCAAGAAAAGACAAAAATAGGATAAGGCTATCATTGGCTATCTAAAAATCTTTTTTTACAAGAACCACCGGCTCAGAAAAGCTAAGACTGAAGAGAATGTGGAAGCATATCCTGGGAAAGTGTAGATTATATAAATGGTGCCTGTTTCGAAGGGTAACAGTTGAAATTGACACTCCAAGGAAAACCATTGTCAACCGACGCGTTATCGGAGGTTGACAATAATTTTCCAAGGGGTGTCAATATATAAATGGTGCCTGTTTTGGAGGGTAACAGTTGAAATTGACACCCCAAGGAAAACCATTATCAAAAGAAAAAAGTTGACACCCCTCGGAAAACCATTGTCAACCTCCGCTGACGCTTCGGTTGACAATGGTTTTCCTTGGGGTGTCAATTTCAACTGTTACCCTCCAAAACAGGCACCATGTATTTTATTATACTGAATGTCTTCTTAAATTAAGACAGCAAAAAATAAAAAATCATCGATCATCTTTACGTTCACGTTTAGAAAGCTTTCAAACTCCTCGCTACTTTTAAAAAGATTTACTGACCTTTTTATTGTTTGTTTGATACTATAAGAGTCTTTTATCATATAAAGTTTCGTTATTTCTGCACTCGCAAGCATGTTTCATCTGTCGTTTGTTGTTTTCAAGTAAGCTACATCGGACGCAAGCTTTTATTGACGTCAAGTTTATTCCAGTTCTTTCAAATGTGCAACTGACGTTTTGAGAATTCTACGGTGAACCGTACGCACATAATATCCACGCATGTGGCATTACCATTGTGTTACCCATTGTCACATGCGTTGCTAAGGCTGAGGGTAATAGAACAAATTGTTAACTGCATCTAAACCAATCAGATTTTAGTATTTAACATGAAAGTATAATAATATCAACTGTTACCTTGCAAAACAGGCACCATTTAATTTATTATATTGAATGTCTTATTGATTTAGGATGTCAGAGAAAAAATTTTTGATTGTCATTATGTTCACATTTAGAAAGGTTTCAAACTACCCGCTTCTATTTTATTCTTAAGAAAGCTTCGAAAAAGATTTACCGACCTATTATTTGTTTGTTAGATTCTCAGAAAATTCTAAATTTTCATAATTTCTGCACTCGCAAGCATGTTTCCTCTTTCTTTGGTCGTTTTCAAGTAAGCTACATCGGAAGCAAGCTTTATTGATGTCATTTATTCGGCTTCTTTCGAACGCACAACTGACTTGTTGAGAATTCTATGGTGAACAGTATGCACATGATTTGCATGCATGTGACATTACTGTTGTGTTACCTGTTGTCACGCATGTTGCTAAGGCTGAGGGTAATAGAACGAATTGTTAACTGCATCTAAACCAATCAGATTTTAGTATTTAAAATGATAGTATAATGGAGTCATTTGAAAAGTGGGAGGGTATATAGTGATCAGTATGTCTGTCCTTCTGTCCATCTGTCTGTCTCTGTGGGGTACCCATCTTTTATCTGCAAATCTTCTTTCATCTCATGTTTACCCCTTTATCCCATGGATATAGCTCATGTGATATGCTTTTCGTATCCCACAGTTGTGACGTCACAATGGGTTTTGCGTTAGCACAATGAAGTAAAATAAAGTGGAGTCTTATATATGCAAAACTGTGTAAAAGATCAACTGTGAATTATTCAACATGGAATTAAAAGTTCCAAGGCTCATGGATAAAAAAAACACACAACTTGTTGGATAAAAATCATATCCAACTACAAATCATGGGAGATCCAATGTAATGAGCACTGAATGATTCTTAGATTCCTTATAACATAGAGCTAATGTGCACCTCTTATTTTACTTTTTGATCATACACATTTTGGGTTTCCCATGTAGCAAAACTTTTTCAGTGATATTGAAGGGTATAACAAAACCCATTTCTTATTCGCATCTCCTCCCATACCACTGAATAAAATTTGATGGTACTTTCACAGATTCTTTATAGTGTAATGCAGTTGTGCACCTAGCTCTTATTTTACTCTTTGATCTGAGACTTATTTCGGGTCATCCAGAGCAAAACATCAACTTTGCCATTATAATGGTATGGGAGGCGGGGTTATCATTTAGTGAGCTCATTGCTCACAATACCTCTAGTTTAACTGAGTTGATCCTGTATCCCCCCTCCCTTGCATAAAAACCTCATAAGCATTTTGCTTCGGAAAACTCAAAATTAGGTTATTTTCACTGTAATTTATATATTATAAGTACAAACCCTTTTCATTTCTGTTTTTACATGGTCTTTTTTCTCTTTTAGGTGCGGAGAACCAGGGTTCAGCTGACTGTGAAGGTTGTAGATGATCTTCAGGAGCCTGAGAAGGTGGCAGTGCTGCCTCTTCCTGAGCTGTTACAGGAGCTTCCTGTGGAGAAGCTTAGGCAGGCTGAAGAGGTGACCGAGTCATCTCCTCAACCTGTGATGGCTGATCCAGAGGTAGAACTTGTTCAGCTTGAGGAAGAGTGTCTGCCATCCCCTGGGCCTGTTGTAGCCCTTCCTTGGCCAGAACTTGACCAGACTGTGGAGGTGGCACTGCCATCTCCTCAGCCTATTCAGGTTCTAGTTGAGGAGGAGGCTGGACAGACTGAGGAGGTGGAACTGCCGTCTCCCCAGGTTGTTGTGGGTCGTCCTCAGCTTTCACCGATGATGGAGATCCCTCCAGCTCGTCCACCTCCAGCGAGGAGTCCACCGAGGCGAGGCTTAGTGGTAGAGGCAGTAGAACTTTTCTTTAGAGCAGTAGATGGTCCTCTGCTTACTGGGATTTTCTTCCCTTTCTTAGCTGGTTGGTAAGAGTTACACCCCCCTTTCTCTTTCTTGTTTTTTTTTACATTTATAAATAGGATTAAATTTTCTTCCCCTGTTCTGTAATGTTAATTTTTCAAGATAAAACTAGAATAGACTTGCATGAATAATTTGTTTAAGCAAGTTAATTAAACATTCATGTTTTTCTGATAAATAGGGTTAAATTTTCTT